CGACGTGAATAGCGACCAAAACGACCAATCGGTCAAAATGCTGAGTTGGGATGCGAGCGCGAGGTTTGAAAAGAGGAAGATGGTTCTCTGGGAAATTGATTTGTGTGTGTGTGGGGGAGGGTTGCCTATTAAAAAACTGGTGGCGGGAGGTCTATCGCATTGATCTGTTTTTGTTTTTTTTTATATTTGGCTTTCGACTTTCTGTTCGAGAAAATTAAACTTGATTCGCTGAATTCAAGAAAAACAGCAAAACTTGATCATTCATTATTTTTTTCTTTCGTATACTGCGACTTTACTTTCATTTGTTACGACTTTGCTACGTACTTTAGTAATCAATTGTGGGGTTTTGTTGTTATGGAGCATTTTAGAGGCGCTTGAAGAGCTCGGGCCATGTTTTTTGATTTGTGATTATTATTAGAAATCCCTTCACTTGACAATGCCAGTAGGCAAGTCTGAAAATAGTGCCGATCTTATCCAACGACAAGAAGAAGCCTCCGGATGGATTTGAAGGTTCGAATCGAGCTCGGGAATAGGCGAGCCTTTCTTTCCATTGCGGTGGAAGCGATATTCCGAAACCCGTGACCGGCTTTGCCTCGGGGCGACTCGAGTCATCTTTGTGTCTTCGAATCATTAAGACGTCTTTGGCTCGAGTCCAGGAGTGGAATCTGATGGAATACTTGCACTTTTGCCCCCCCCTCCCCACACACACAAGAAGTCCAGCGCGCGCGTACGTTTGCCACCTGTGACGAAGGACGGCGGCGGCCATTTGGAACATTTAACCGCGACACCGAAGAGACGCGTCTCCATTTTCACCAACGCAACGAGGAAACGCTCCGGGCCTTACGGCGAGGCACCAACCTGGGTCGTGAATCTCGAGACTGCCCGGCGGGCAAAGGGCTCCCCGCGGGGGCCGAGCGACCGCGGGAGACGCAAGGCTGTTGAGCGCTGGTCAAAAGGAGCAGCGGGCTCTCCGGGCTCTCGGCTGCAGCGCCACCCTCCAAAAACACCTCGTTGGCCCCGACGGACCTGACCGAAGGACCGAAGCCGCCGGGAAAACTGGACGAAGAGCTCCCGGCCGACGGGGCGGGCTCCGCCACCTGCGACGGCGGTCCTCGGCTCTCCGTCGGCGAGGACCGCCGCGGCGGCTCCTCGGCGGCTTTTCGAGCGGCATCGTCGTCGTCGTTCAACGGACACTGAGGCCGTCCGTCGAGTGAGATATTGCTGAGAAACAAGACGGCTGCCTGTCTCCTTTTGGAATCTCTGCTTTTCCTTCGTTGCTCCCGCTGTGTTTTGGTCGCCTTACTCTCTCTCTCTCTCTCTCTCTCGCTCGCTCGCTCTCAGCTGATTGGATAATGCAAATGTATAACGATACGTCATCTTTTTTTGTTAGCAGTAGAGCATGTGGCTAAAAAATAAGAATGTTTTTATCTCTGTATATTTTCACAGACCAGGGACATTGTAATTGAGGCAACTGGACTCCTGTCCGTTGGGTTTGTATTTTTGGCCCGGGGGGGTGGGGGTCATTCCTTCGCCGGAATGGGGCGGCGGCGCTACTTTCATGGCTACCTGAGCTGAGCAATCTCTCCGTAAGGCAGCACCGAGAAAGCGGCGTAGAGCGAGCGCTTGGCACAAATCAGCATGATCCTGCGGGGGGGGCAACGGCACGGACAGGCACACGATCAGTCGAGGAGCCGCGGCCGTGACCAAACGGAACAAATCATAAGAAATTCATCACCCGAACAAAATCAGCAATGGTTTGCGAGCCTCCTTTTAGCACGCGTTAAAAATGGCGCGGATCAATTTGAGCGAGCCACGCTGCGTGGCGGACGCGCTCGGGAAAAACGGGAGGCCCCGGCGGATGTTGGCGAGGGCGCAAAGCCGCCGAAAGAAAGGCGACAAATTTCTCCTTGGCGACCGAAAAAAAAAATAAATCAGAAAGCAAACCCTGAACTTGGACTTGATAAGAGCCGGCAAAGGACGCGACGACTCACCTGCACCCCCTGGTGTCATACTGCCTCATGCTCTTGATGAAGTGGACTTTCTTTGGCACCTTGACTCCGGGGGAACCGGAGACATTCCTCAACCTGCGAGATGGTCCACAGGGATCGAACGTCAACAGAAGGCAGCGACGCAAAGATCGGACGTACGCGCACTTTGGTCTTAACTTTTTGCTTTTTCCTTTGACTGCTCCAGTCGAAACACGCAAAACGTGGGGCGTCTTGACTTTGTCACAGACGGGAAAGTACATTTCGGGAAACCGGTCGCCAGTTCATCGTTTCAACCTTTTCCACAGCGAGCGGAGGAGGATGCAGATCGAGATGAAAGCGCAAATGACACCGGTGACACTTTTTAAATCGTCAACAGGCGAGTACCGACGTGAATAGGTACCAAAACGACCAATCGGTCAAAATGCTGAGTTGGGTTGCAATGGCCCCTTTGGATGCGAGCGCGAGGTTTGAAAAGAGGAAGATGGTTCTCTGGGAAATTGATTTGTGTGTGTGTGGGGGAGGGTTGCCTATTAAAAAACTGGTGGCGGGAGGTCTATCGCATTGATCTGTTTTTGTTTTTTTTTATATTTGGCTTTCGACTTTCTGTTCGAGAAAATTAAACTTGATTCGCTGAATTCAAGAAAAACAGCAAAACTTGATCATTCATTATTTTTTTCTTTCGTATACTGCGACTTTACTTTCATTTGTTACGACTTTGCTACGTACTTTAGTAATCAATTGTGGGGTTTTGTTGTTATGGAGCATTTTAGAGGCGCTTGAAGAGCTCGGGCCATGTTTTTTGATTTGTGATTATTATTAGAAATCCCTTCACTTGACAATGCCAGTAGGCAAGTCTGAAAATAGTGCCGATCTTATCCAACGACAAGAAGAAGCCTCCGGATGGATTTGAAGGTTCGAATCGAGCTCGGGAATAGGCGAGCCTTTCTTTCCATTGCGGTGGAAGCGATATTCCGAAACCCGTGACCGGCTTTGCCTCGGGGCGACTCGAGTCATCTTTGTGTCTTCGAATCATTAAGACGTCTTTGGCTCGAGTCCAGGAGTGGAATCTGATGGAATACTTGCACTTTTGCCCCCCCCTCCCCACACACACAAGAAGTCCAGCGCGCGCGTACGTTTGCCACCTGTGACGAAGGACGGCGGCGGCCATTTGGAACATTTAACCGCGACACCGAAGAGACGCGTCTCCATTTTCACCAACGCAACGAGGAAACGCTCCGGGCCTTCCAGAAGCCCCGGGGAAAACTGGACGAAGAGCTCCCGGCCGACGGGGCGGGCTCCGCCACCTGCGACGGCGGTCCTCGGCTCTCCGTCGGCGAGGACCGCCGCGGCGGCTCTTCGGCGGCTTTTCGAGCAGCATCGTCGTCGTTCAACGGACACTGAGGCCGTCCGTCGAGTGAGATATTGCTGAGAAACAAGACGGCTGCCTGTCTCCTTTTAGAATCTCTGCTTTTCCTTCGTTGCTCCCGCTGTGTTTTGGTCGCCTTACTGCTGCAGCCGACGGCCTGACGACCGCACACAGCCGTTGCCATTCTACTTCGAAACGGTACTACTACTAGTACCGTACTAGTGGCCGGATGGCTGGTGCTTGCTCGGAGGGAAGTGACGTCGAGGAGGCGGTACCACAAGGCTAGCCCCGCCCCCCTCTCTCTCTCTCGCTCGCTCGCTCGCTCTCGGCTGTTGCTAATGTCCCGAATTCTCTCAGCTGATTGGATAATGCAAATGTCTAACGATACATCATCTTTTTTTGTTAGCAGTAGAGCATGTGGCTAAAAAATAAGAATGTTTTTATCTCTGTATATTTTCACAGACCAGGACATTGTAATTGAGGCAACTGGACTCCTGTCCGTTGGGTTTGTATTTTTTTTCTTCTTTCCTGAAAATAGACGTAACTGAGGCAGCTCTGCTATTGGGCTCCAGTGGTGCCTTAATTGGGACAACCTTTTTTCATTTGCTTTTAAATCAAATGAGCACGCGGAGTGAAGTTGTCAGTAAAGCTGATGAGAAATGATGACAATTGGGCTAGTTATGATGGCTAGTTTGCCTTTGGTGGGGACTTGCCCCCACCAAGGTGGCCGCCGCATAGCCACGCGATTTCGCTGGGCTGAGTATCAATGGTGCCTTGAGAGACATGGGTTAATTTGTTCCGTGATCCCGGATCATCATTTAAATCGCGCGTCTTTCTTCAGGAATTCGTTCGGGCAGCACGCCGTCGACTGATAAGCGCCCCCGCCTCACAGTGTTGAGGTCATGTGTTCGAATCTGGCCTTGGCTCTCCCATGCGGAGTTTGCATGTTCTCTTTGTGTCTGCATGGGTTTTCTCCGGGTACTCAGGTGTTCTTCCAGATTCCAAGAACAGGCACGGTAGGTCAATGGAACACTCAAAATTGTCCCCACGCGTGACTGTGAGTGAAAATGGTCGTCTTTGTGTGGCCTGCGATGGGCTGGCAACCGGTTCAGGCTGTCCCCCGCCCGCTCCCCGAAGGCGGAGAAGCGGCTCAGATAATGGATGGATTACAGCGGTGGGTTTTCATGGAGGAAGCGGTGCCAGTGAGCATTTTCTCTTTCTTCAAGTGTTAAAACAGCACCATCGCGTACAAACATCAGAATATCAGCAGCTGTACTGAGCGTAAATAACATTTCCAGTGCTTCTACTCGTCAAGTCAGTGGTTTCTGACAACATCGGTGTGAGTGTGCAAAAGATATCCTTCTGGGCGACACATCAGGTCAACACTTTGCTCTTTATTCAAGCAACCGGTTTCATGTTATTACCTTGACCTTCTCATTTTGCGCACCGGTCTGGTGTGACCAGTTTAAGGCTTTTTGAGTCTTGATTTGCATTTTGAGGTACAGTTCCATCCAAGCTTAGTTCAAGTGATAGCGTGAGCTTGCCGATACATGACCGAGTCTGACAGTTAGCACCATAAACCCCATTTTAGGTCTTCTTTGGGTTTTTGAAGGTGCCCGAATGGACTCTGGATTGATTTCTGTGTCTGGACAGCGTTGACAACAAAACGACACAGCTTGAAATGAACTCCAAACGTAACATTGCTTTCCGAGGCTCATTTCTTCCTCTCACCAAGAAGAAAAAAGGAGAACCCTGATGAAATGCCTTATCCATCACTTCATCACTTAGGTCAGTGGTCCCCAACCTTTTTGTGTCACAGACCAGTTGCGACAAGTGCATGCTGTAGGCGGACCGGCAACCTTATGTTTTTCATTGCTTTGAAATGGCCATTTTTAAAAGCACTGGTGCTGACAACCAAGTTCATTGTCGAGAAAATGGACATTTTATCAATTCATTTCAAACTGTGGAACAAAATAAAATAACACCGTGAACTATGAAGAAATAGACCCCCTCAGGAGTAATGAATACGTCTTATCGTTGACGCGCCAAAAGACGAGACGACGGATCACCGCTTTCATCCGCCGGCTAGTTGTGGGCGACTAAGCTACGAATGTTTGCGCGGGCAGCCTGTGCAAACGAGCTTTCCGCTTGATCGCGGGGGCGCTACTTGTCGAAATGATTCACCGGGATTCAACGAGTAGGAAGCCGTCGCGCGCACGACGACTTCCTCCTCGTCGTCGCCAGGGTAGGCGCGTTCTCTTGTCCAAATGGCTTCGTCTTCGGAAGTCGTGTCCGCTAGCTGTCCGTTTAGCCAATTTGCTACTGGATGATTTTCTGTTTCGGGCTTCTTTCGTTTCTTGGCTTTTATTCTGTTGATTTCAACTTGTGAAGGGGGACTCCGACGGGCGAGAGTCGCGCGCGTCTTCTCCGCCACGTCGGAAGAAGTCAATTTGCTCGCCGGTCTGCCTCCGTGCGGCCCGGTAAACTTGGCTTGACATTATTCAGGCAAACGGAACAAGCACTGATAGCTCAAGCGTCCTCGTTGTTCCGTTGGCATGGCAAATGTGGCCCGTTTGCTTTTCACGGCCACGTGGACATTGCCCCTCCATAATGTGCTTTGTTTTCACTCAGTTCAAACGGAACAAGCACTGATAGCTCAAGCGTCCTCATTGTTCCGTTGGCATGGCAAACGTGGCCCGTTTGCTTTTCTCAGCCACGTGGACATTGCCCCTCCCTCCATAATGTGCTTTGTTTTCACTCAGTGCCGCCAAAGTGTCACAAGCTTACAGTAGAAATGTTCTAGCTCACCTCAACAAACAAGACCACGGGAATGTTTTAGAAGCCACAAAGGGCACAGAGACGCTCAAGTCTTGTCCAACACAAACACGTTTTCTACTCTATTTGTTGCTTTTTTTTACATCTCTGACGTTGCGTTAAAGCCGCCCCCCTCCAGATTCCTGCAACATGAGTGACAACTTTGGAAATGGTGACGATCGCTACCCACGCGCTATGTCAAAGTACAGCACAGAGGGAGCGTCTCGCCATTTGTGTTCCAACGATATTTCCGTTCTAGCTGCCGTTGTTAATGATCAGACACGTCGAAAGGCGTGCTCGGAGCCTCCGGCTCTTCGGGGGTTTAATATGAGCCTCACCTGAGAAACGCACAAGCCGGAGCATGCACCGCCACTGACGACATCGGAACACTTTGCATTCGCATGTGCGCTTCTTCAAGTCATCGTGGAGATGAACAAGACTGTCTGTCACATATGACATCGCCACCCGAAACGCGCTTTCACCGTCACACATTTGTCTCGCTACTTTGAATGCACGCTTGTCCAACTGTTCATTGTTTCAGTCCATCTCGCCGGCTGTCGGATCTCATCCAAGCGAGTCTCATCTATGAACGGCCGCACGGAGCTCTTGGTCACCTACATGCTCGCTGTGATAGGCGGGCGGCGGTGTCGGTAACGCCCCGGCCGCCGCGTTCCCCCTTCTGCTCAGTGTGGACACGCCGTCACGCATCTTGACCAATCACATGCAGGGGGGAAAAAAACGTCAAAAAAAGAGGATGAGGGAAAGCCAGCAAATTTGCTCCCAATCGACTTCGTCGCAACTCTCTCCCGCTCGGTGACCTCTTCCCGTTTGAAGCCTCGAAACGGCCGCCTGCTTTTGATCGATCGCTAGGTGTCGTCTTGGTCTGGCGATGTCCAAATGTAAACAGCGCGATGAAGAGGACCGTTAAAACGGCAAGTCTCCGCGAACCGTATCGGTCAGCTCACCCTGTGGTGAATTTTGCCATTCAGCCCCTGGTTAAAAAAACAAACAAACAACGGTTTGTCACTGAAGCATTGCAAAGTTGGACAAGTACATTCAAAGCTTGCGCCAAAGTCCCGAGTCAAGCCGACCGTGCGGCGCCGCAGCCGAGGCAGACTTGT